CTTAGCAAAGCGCATCCCAGGCTGCATAGCCGCACTACCCTACCCAACCATACCACACATAAACATGACACTACCCCCGGGGTTTACACAGACGAGCCGGCGAAGCAAGAAGAGCGCCAGAAGAAAGGGCCCTAGCCGGCGGGGCCCAGCCAGGACAAAAGGAGGTCCCACAAAGCGCCTACACCGGCCGCATTTGCGGTCGGGGTAGACGACGGATGGGGCCCACCTACGAAGGCTGTCCAGGCCTACACGAGATGAGGCAGGATAAAGAGGGATAATCCCCCTCGATCCCTAATCATTGAGGCCAATTTCTAGCCATAGAATAATGGCGCGAGTATACTAAATAACTAAATAAATAATAATAACCACAGAAGATCCTAAATACAAGGATATTCTGTGTAATAACCAATAACCATAGACTTTTAGTTTACTAGCTGAGTAAATTCTAGGTCTATGACTAATACCGGAACCAGACAGATACTCTTTTTTCTGTTTTGTGGCAGAATGCGAAAATGAGTTAATTTTCGACAGTCTTAAACCACAGAAGTCAAAACAACATCTTCTGTGCTTAAACCATAGACAATACATTATTTATTATTTATTAGTTTGTCTATGTCCTTATTTGAAATTTATGAGTTTGTTTCTATCTAGAGATTTGTTGGTTTGTATGGAATGAATTGAGTCTTGAATCCAAAATATGAAAATAAATTTATATAGAAATATTTTCCATATCCAAATTTATATCTAAGAAGTTACTGGTTTCCTTATCCTTACACTAATATAAAAGGTAATGTAATATAATTTTTTAACTTTTATTATATCTATGTACCTACGTTTTTTAGAAGCTTTCCGTTTAAAAGTGAATCACAAAATAAGTGTAACAGCGACGTTGAGACGAAATTTCGGGATAGATTCCTTTCATCAAAACAAACCAAAGAATTGAAGTAACATTTTTTGGTGAAACAATTTCTAAAAGCTCTTAAGTTCTTTCAAAAGTTCAAGACTTGAAGTACAGTTTTTTAACAATTCAATTAAATCAATTCAATCAAAAGGCTTCAAATTGATACACTGAGGTTTCACCTATAATACGTACTACATTCATGCAAAATTGTAAAACTCGTATAAAATTACACATTACTCATGTAAAAACAAAGTTAGGGCTTGTTTAAGGAGTTTCAACTGTCGAACGAAGGTATTATGGTGCTAAAGAGAAGAAAGAGAAGTCAATTCAACAGTTTTTGAGTAGTTTATAAAAAAAATCGTGTTTCCCGTCCAATCTTTGAAGGATCATGGGTTCCTTAGCAATTATTTTAAGAAAAATTGTTACTCTTGCCCTGAAAGTCTATTGCAACGTTGCTGTTACATTCTAAATAAAAATAAGTTATTTTTAATGCGGTAGGTTCAAATATTCAGAAATGTAGTTTTATGTGGATCAAACATCTGTATTAAGAAATTATTGAATATAGTTGTTGATTTTATGCTTAGAACTCAGTAATTCTTTTCCAACATTTAATACGTCCAAGGTGCACCAGATCGTCTTAGAGCTGTTATCCATTATTTGTTTTTTAATTAAAACCTTTAATTTTAACAATTTCTTGTCTTAAAGTTCTGTTGAAAGTAAAAAATTGTAATTACTACAATAAATATTTTGCATACCTCAATGCGTTTACATACTGCCTATATAAACAAGTACTTCTAAAACAATTTTATATTCCTTTTAACACCTTCACATTGAAGTTTTTCTCCCAGCTTTATTTTTAAGGTACTTCTTCAACTGACAACTGGAAAAATTGGTACAAAATTTAAGGCGATGAAAGTAGAGCCAAAAATAGTAAAAAAACTTGCTCTAAACATTGGTCTTCCGGGGCACCGTTACTGATATATGGCTCTCCAAAGGAGTCATCATTTGGATATTAAAATAACTTTCTTTCTGATTAAGATAATGGAATGAAAATTGTAGGTAGTAGGTAATAATCATACCATAAGGGTCTTTAACTATCATAAGTTTCATCAAAATCGTTTATAAATAAGGATAGTTTTCTAACTACCCTTAACAGAAATTTTTTGAATTTTTTTATTCCTTTGAATTATCAAGGAATTAATATTTTTTTTAATGAATGACTTTTTTGAAGAAAAAATGACCCTACTCGAATTTTGCGTAGTTTAGTCAGAAATAATAATTTTTTATGTAATACATGGCTCAGAACAGTAACTTTATTAACATTTTCACATAGTAGGCATCTTTCATGGTGACAGTTTCGTTGTAATGATACTAATCGTTTAAATTTTTACGTTTCTTTATCTTCTTATTTATGATCTTTGTGCTTGACTTTGCATTTCACTGGATTTTTTTTACAACCATGAACCATTATGAGCAGACGCTCTTCTTACACTCGCAGTAGGATTACGTTAAAAAAATCCTAAAATTAATTCATCTAAATCATGCCTACGCCTCCTTGGATGGCCAAATTCACATCTTAGAGTTAGGGCTCCTGATTCCATCGTTCTTGCATACATTTTTCCAAACATTTTGCAGAAGGTTGCCTTCCATCAGGGAAATATTGCCGATACTCTTTTTGAGCCACCAGACTATTTCCATTACAGAAACCATAAATAAAATGCATATCGGCATATTCACGGTTAGTAAAAGCATGATGGTTCATGGTTGTAAAAAAATTTAATGAAGTGGAAAGTCAAGCACAAAGATCACAACTAAGAAACGTAAGAATTTAAATGATAGCACACGGATGTTAATATCAATACAACGAAATTGTCACCATGAAAGGTGCCTACTATGTGAAAATGTTAAAAAAAAAATAATATTTGGTTGATAATTCAAAGGAATAAAAAAAATCGAAAAATTTCTGTTAAGGATAGTTAGAAAACTATCCTTATTTGTAACCGGATTTTGATGACACTTATGATAGTTAAAGACCCTTATGGTATGATTATTACCTACAATTTTGATTCCATTATCTTAATCTAAAAGAAAGTTATTTTAAAAAATATCCAAATGATAAGACTCCTTTGGAGGGCCATATCTCAGTAACGGTGCTCCAAAGGACCAATGTTTATAGCAACTTTTTTTTACTATTTTTGGCTCTACTTTCACCTCCTTATATTTTGAACCAACTTTTCCAAACACCCTGTATATCGTTTTTCCCGTGTTTTTGTTGAAATTGGTAATTGTTGCTATAGTTAACAGTAAACAGGACCTATTTAAACTGGTTTTCTGTAGCAGTATGACAGCTTTTGATTGTTTTTGTTATGCATGCGGCATTATCATTGAATATTTTAAATGTTACAATAATAGATTTTTCAGTATTTTTTTTTGCTTTGCTTTAAAAAGTGAAATTAAAAGTAAATGTGTTTATTGCAGCTATAGCATCTGAAGAACAATAAACAAGCTCAAAAACGTTGGTACTTATTTAAAAAAAAAATGTGTTTTAACGGTTACAAATTAGTATCAAGCAGAGTATTAAGTATTTGTCATACAAACAGTGAGAAAGGAAAATAAATTTCAGTAATAATCACAAGCAGATTGATAAGATGTTGGAGGAGAATAGTATCAAAACATCTGTAGATAATACATTAGAAAGTAACTGTAATTTAATAAAACCTATTAATCGTGAAGTTGTTCACAAGATTTGCTCTGGTCAAGTAAGTATATATTTGTTTAGTTATTTATTTTGTTTATAAATAACAAAATACTAACTTTTTATTTTATTTTGTAGGTTGTGTTAAGTCTAGCCATCGCAGTGAAAGAGTTGATAGAAAATTCAATAGATGCTGGGGGTACTAGAATAGATGTTTATCTGAGAGAATATGGTTCTGACCTTATTGAAATATCTGATAATGGTACTGGTGTGTTAGAAAAAGATTTTGAAGCGCTAAGTATGTTATATTTCTTTTATTGTCAACTTGTCGGAAATAGTGTTTGCTTGAAGAAAAATAATGTGTAACATGAAATAGTGAAACGCAGAAAGCAGACATCCGTTTTGTTCTTGCACAAACACAGTAAAATTGATTGTCTCGGATTACTATCTTAGATTGATATACAGTGTGTACAGATTTGATCCGGAATACCAGTGTAGAATTTTACAGGGTGGGACGATTTTAATGTAAATTTTTTTCAGAGTAGGGCGTTCATAGACACACGTATGGGACATATTGTTAAGGAGATAATGTTATCTCGTGGCTTGCTATGATTTTTTTAATGATGGTTTTGGAAAATCGTACTAGGTATTTTTTTATTAGAAATTTGACAACACTGCGTTATTCAGCACCATTTAAAATCCAAATACCCAAAATTTCATTAATTTATGTAGTGCAACTACATAAATGTTTTTTTTATAGAACCCCAAAGTCCCAAAAACTGAAAATCCTTATTGTAGTTTGAAGGGCTTTTAGAAATGAGTAAAAACAATAAAATACAATTTAAAAGGGATGAAATATCACGTTAAGAAAGAAAAAACAATACAAATTACCATTAACAAGTTAATAGTGCTTGCACAAATTAATACCAGTCAAGGAAAACAAAATTGGAAAGAAACACCAAAATGTTTTTAAATAAATATTCAAATTCAAAATTATGCTATTAAAAATTCAAATATTTCCTTTTTCAACTAAACCACCTTGTATACATTTCAATTCTTTTTTTATTTTGTTTAGATACGTTTAATAACGTTTCTTCGTTAATCTGATTACAAGCTTCCGTAATTCGAGCACATAGTCCTTGAAGATAACGTGATCGATTCCTATACACAATGTTTTTCAAATGTCCCCATAGAAAAAAATCTGCTGGTGTAAGATCAGGTGTTCTTGGTGGTCAGTTTATTAAATTAGAGCGTCTACCTATCCATCTGTTAGGAAAGTGTGTTTGAAGCCATTCTGTCACAAGTCTGGTGCAGTGGATAGGGGCACCATCTAGCTGTAGCATGGAATTTTGCCATTCAAGCAAAGGAACATCGTCAAGTGAATCGTAAAAGTTCGCAGAAATGTGTGAAAAATATTTCCATTGAAAAAGAACAGGCCGTATAATCTCTTTGACCAGAATTGCCACAAAAAGCATTAATTTTCTGGGAGTACTGACTTTTGCAGTTAATGGGGGTTTTCAGATGGCCAATAACGAGTATTTTGTGAACTTACTATCCCGTTAGTAGAAAATGTAGCTTCGTCCGTCTAAACGATGTTTTTTAAAAAATATCGATCTTGCAAATAGTTTTCTTGTGTCCAGAGACAGAACTCCAACCTCTTTTCTGCATCACCTGCTTCTAACGTGTGCAGATATTTGACTTTAAATGGCCTAATATTTCTTTTCTTTAAATGATTCCAAACTGTCATATTACTCATATTGGGTAAATTTCCAACTCGGCCATTATTCCATGGCTAGAAATTGGCCTCAATGATTTGGGATCGAGGGGGATTATCCCTCTTTATCCTGCCTCATCTCGTGTAGGCCTGGACAGCCTTCGTAGGTGGGCCCCATCCGTCGTCTACCCCGACCGCAAATGCGGCCGGTGTAGGCGCTTTGTGGGACCTCCTTTTGTCCTGGCTGGGCCCCGCCGGCTAGGGCCCTTTCTTCTGGCGCTCTTCTTGCTTCGCCGGCTCGTCTGTGTAAACCCCGGGGGTAGTGTCATGTTTATGTGTGGTATGGTTGGGTAGGGTAGTGCGGCTATGCAGCCTGGGATGCGCTTTGCTAAGGTGGCCCTTAGGCTAGCGCGGGAGGGGAGGGTTAAGGAGGGTATGGGGGGTGTGTGTGTGTGTGTGTGTGTGTGTCGTTGTCTTCGTTTCTTGATCCTGGCTGTCTCTGAAACAGAAAAGGTTAGCGGGCAGGGGGGGGGTCATTGGGGTGGTCACCCAGGGTCAAAAAGTTGGTGTCTAGGTCTTTTGTGTTTGTCGGTCACGTCGGGTACGTAGTCAACGGCTTGCCTGAGGAGGGGATTGTCATGTCTAGCGGCTACGTCAAATCGTTTCTCCGCGTTTTGTCTTATTGTCTGTGTAGCGTTTGTGTATTGTAAGTCTCGTAATATGTCAGTGTTTCTTACGTACCAGGGCGCGTCGGTGGCCGTGCGGAGGGCTATGTTTTCCACAGCCTGTAATGACTTTAAGTGGCTTTTTGCCGCGTGACCCCACGCCGTGGAGGCGTAGGTTAGCTGCGGTTGAAGTACCACCTTGATAAGCGTTCGCTTATTCCTTAAACTGAGGGTGTTTCCACCTTTGAGTAAGGGATAGAGCCTAGCCCTGGTGGTCTTCGCTCGCGCCACCGTCTCCACGATGTGCGGTTTCCACGTGAGACGCTGGTCCATCGTCACGCCCAGGTATCGTGTTTGTCGATTCCAGGAGATGGGTTCCTGGGATAGTGTCAGTCTGTCAAGGTTTTGTGGGATTTTTCGTTTGGTAAAAAGGATAGCCGAACTTTTGTTGGGATTAATTTTGACTTTCCACCTGTTGCACCAGGTTTCAAGTTGGTCTAAGGAGTTTTGGAGGAGGGAGACGGAATATCTAGGATCTACGGATTGGGATGTGATTGTCAGGTCGTCGGCGTATAAGTATATGTTGGTGTTGGGGGGATGTGGGATGTCGGAGTTGTAAATGGTGTATAGGTGTGGGGACAGGACGGTGCCCTGGGGGACACCGGCCTCCATGGGACGGGTGGTGGAAAGGGAATCTTGGATTTGGATGCGGAATTTTCGGTGGTGTAGGTAGGATTTTATGAGTTTGGTAAAGGATATGGGATATTGGTTGGTGAGCATTTTCATCAGTAGGCCTTCATGCCAAACCGTATCGAAGGCCTTTGCGACGTCCAGGAAGACAGCACCAGTGTACTGTCCCCTGTTGAAGGCCGCCGTGATGTGCTCGGTAAGGCGAAGGATTTGGAGTTCAGTGGAGTGATTGGGTCGGAAGGCGAACTGCTCGTCTGGAATGACTTGCAGTTCTTGGGAGTGGGTTCTTAGACGGGTTAGGATAATTTTTTCTACCACTTTGCTCATAGCCGGGAGCAGGCTAATGGGCCGGTAGTTGGATGGGATGGTGTGATCTTTGTTGGGTTTTGGGATAAGGATTATGTTTGCTGTTTTCCAGCGGGTAGGGAAGTGTCTTAGTCTGAGTGTCGCGTTTGTTATGTTTAGTAGGGCCATGAGGCCCTTGTGTGGTAGTCGTTTAAGTGTCGTGTTATGTATATTGTCGGGTCCGGGGGCTTTTCTGTTTTTAAGTCTGCGTATTGTCAGTCTTAGTTCGTCAGGTGTTGCGGGGGGGATTATGTCATTGTCTGGCTCTCTGTCGACGCGTCGGGCCGCGCGCTCAGCCACTATCTCGAATTCCTCGTCTTCGTCGGGCAGCTGAGGCAGTCTACACTGCAGTTCCAGGCTATCGGCGAAAGCCTCGGCCTTTTCCTGGTTCGTGTAAACCACCCCCACACTACCGTGGATTGGAGGAATTTTACGGCGAGCGGTCTGTCGCAGGGCCCTCTGCGTTTTCCAGAGGCTGTTGTCTTGTGGATCCAGCGACTCCAGGTGCCTAGCCCAGTTATCCTGGGCCAGTTCATCCAGAGCCGCCTTCACCCGTCTGTTAAGTACGTTTAAGTCATGTCTGTGTCGGGGGAGTCGGGTGCGGGTGGCAAGCCGTTTCGCACGTCGTCTGTCACGTATTAAGTTTTTTATGTCATCGGGGAGGGTGCCCCGAGGGTTTGTCAGTCGGGGGACAATAGTCTCCGTCGTAGTCTGAGTCAGGGCGTTTTTAATGTCAGTCTCAAGAGAGATCCAGAAATATTGGATTGTGGGCGGAAGACCCTTCGTATTGGGTGGATATTTGGGCATTTAACGGTATAGATTTTAAGAGGGCAATGTCGATAACGTCGGGGCGTCCTACGGGTCCGTAATGTGTCGGTTCTGTCGGTCCGAGTATCGTCAAGTCGTCGTGTCTGTCTTGGTAATTCAGCAGGACGCGATCTCTTGTGATCGTTGTCCCGCTGTGCCATATGGGGGACTTCGCGTTAAAGTCCCCGATGGCAATTGTCTGGGCCAATTTCCAACTGTATCAGATAAACTATTTGTAGGATTATTTCGGAAATATTCAATTACAGCATCTCCCTTTTTGCTTGATGTCCTGGACCTCTTTTTACCGTAGATGAAATATTACCTAAAGAAAATTTTAACAGGTTAAAAAATACTACAAATTAGAACTTACATGTACCACTGAGATCAAACTTGATTTATTCATGATACAGTAAAAATTGATATTTGTCGGTTTGGATTTTCAGCATTAAAAATTCTAACTACTTCTCTGTAACTTCGATCATTTCTGCCTGTTAGTCCAATTATTTGCACTTTTTCGTTAATACTTAAGTCCATTTTTATTTTACTAGCAAAATATTTCTCACAAAAAAAAGCCGTAATTAAAGCGTTCTAATAGATATCATGATTTGACATTTCACAATATTATTTGTTTTTTGTAGCATCCCTAATGAAACAAGAAAATAAATTTCTTTCCGAGTTATAAAAATTGTCTAGAGAAATTACCTAATTTTAAAATGTAATGGTACTCATATTGTTTTTTCTTTCTTAACAAGACCTTTTTAAATTGTATATAAAATAAGAATTTTCAGTTTTGGGCACTTTGAGGCTCTATAAAAAAAACATGCAACAACATAAATTAATGAAATTTTGGGTATTTCGATTTTAAATGGTGCTGAATAACGCAGTGTTGTCAAATTTCTAATAAAAAACTCCCTAATACGAATTTCCAAAAACATCATTATTAAAAAAATCATAGCATGCCACGAGATAACATTATCTCCTTAGAAATATGTCCCATACGTGTGTCTATACACTCCTCACTCTGAAAAAAAATTGACATTAAAATCGCCCCACCCTGTAAAATTCTTCACTGGTATTCCGGTTCAAATCTGTACATACTGTATATACAGAGTGTAACTTTGAGTAGAGGTCATATTTGTACAAAGGCTTCTTTTGACCTTTAGAAACAAGTATTATTAATAATTAATTTTTTTAAATTCTGTTTTTTTAACCTTTTTTTTTAGTAATTTTTTTACCCCCCTGCTGGACAAGCTAGTGTAACCTTAAATAACGGAGCGCTTTATATGAAATGACATATGTTAAATAAAATGTCACTTCATTTGAGTTTTTTAAATATTGACATTTTCATTTTTGTCTGTTAAGGTGAAAACAGTATTTTCGGCTTAACAGAGAAGAAATTAACTTTCATTCCATCTAAGCCATGATAAAATCCTTACTATGGTTTATGAGTAGAAAAATTTATATTACACTGATACCAAATAAATGTTACTGCTTATTGCAATGGTTTAAATACAAATTAATATATAAATAATTCTAAATCATATTCCCAAAGTTATACTAAACGATCGTCTGTAAATCATACTATATGTTTTAGCTTTGAAGCATTATACATCAAAAATCAGAGAATTTAATGACTTGGTAAACATTGGAACTCTTGGTTTTAGAGGAGAAGCACTAAGTTCTCTTTGTGCCTTGTCCGATTTAACTATTGTGACAAAACATTCCACGGCAGAGTTAGCAACTAAAATTACATACGATAAAAATGGAACAATTACAAATAAGGTTACCACAGCCAGAGAGAACGGGACAACTGTTATGTTAAATAAGTTATTCTCTACATTGCCCGTTAGACGAAAAGACTTCCTTAAAAATTTAAAAAGGGAATTTAATAAAATGTGCCAGCTGCTTTATGCTTATTGCTTGGTTTCAAAAGGAATAAAGTAAGTATCAAAAAAAAGTACTACTAAATCATTTTTCTTATTGAAGATGGTCGTGAGAAGGGATAAAAACGCTTTATTTTGAAGGTAGTATTTATAGTTGTCGTATCATTTGGCTATACAATTGCATCTAAGAAAGTGAAGCCTCGTCTTTCGAATGCCGCCTTTACCGCGGCATACTAGTTTGGCCGTGGCCTTCATTTGTACAAGATCTATTTTTTGTTCTACTGGAAAAATGATAAGTGTCGTAATAGAACTACGAATTTTCGTGAAATTTCATATGAAATTTTACGAAAACCGCTACTGAAACTTATCTTTTATTAAGAGTATATGGCAATGAATGTTTATCACGTGCGTGGGTTTTTGAGCGATTTAAGTGTTTTCAAGATGGCCGAGAAGATGTTGAACATGACACGCCACATCAAAAACAGATAAAAATATTGAAAAAATGGCTAATCTGATCCATCGGTTAACTATTGCTGCTATTGCTGAAACTGTAGGAATTGACAAATAATGCATAAGGCAGACTTTACATGAGAATGTGAAATTGCAAAAAATTTGTGCGAAAGTGGTGCCGAAAATTCTCACAATCGAACGAAAAGAAGCTCGGGAAAATATTTGTAGTGACACTTTAAATGACATTGAAAATAACCCAAACTTCTTGGAAAGAGTGATAATATGGAATGAATATTGGTTCTTCACTTATGTTTCCAGAAACAAAGCGTTAAGAGCGCAAATTCGCCAAGAGCTAAACAAGTTCGAATGAACAAATCAAAATTCAAAGCAATGATGATTATTTTTTTGATATGATTGTGTACCTTCACTGGATTCCTGAAGATCAAATTGTTAATCAACATTACTACCTCAAGGTCCTTGCTAAACTCTGTGAAAAAATAAAAAAAAGACCCTAATTGTGGAAAAGAAGTCATAGGTTCTTCATGAGGACTACTCACAAGCTCACAATACATTGTCTGTCAAGAAGTTCTAGCCAAGTATAACATTCCAGTGTTAGACCATCTGCCTTATCCGCCTGACCTGACACTATGTGACATCTGTTTCCCAAGGTCAAATCTGCATTAAAAGGAACAAGATTTCAGACCATTGAAGCTGTCTAAGGAAAAGCTCACATCATGAACAAGTTCACAAAGACTTTCATTGTTTTGACCAATCGAAAATTTGCATGGAGCTTTGTAGGGACAGAGATTGAAGGGGACAATAATTAAGTACATGTAAATTTAAAATAAAAATTATTACAGTAGCAGCCTTGTTATTTTATAACCACACCTCATATTTTCCTTGATTGAAATACAAATATTTATTTTAAATATTAACCAATAGTAAGAACTAATAGCAGAAATAAAAGCAATAATTGAATTCACTGAAATAAAATACTTGTTTAAATTCTTTCAACTTTTTGTATGTGACGATTGACTGAACGTGCATTGGGCTGGGTCAGGTATTACAGGTCGAAATTCCAGTGGCATTGAAATAACAAATATTTTTATATTATTTTCAAAGTGACCCTTTGTTCTTTATTTTTGACACTATAGTACTTGCAAAGATCAATTTTTTTTTTGATAAGTTATGAATCGTTCTATATATTTTACAGAGTAACTATTATTATAACATGGTTTATAAAGTTTTCTTCTAAAAAACTTTATTTTAATAAAAATTATTGTGTGTATGTATACAGCATGTCCCGCTGTAATGTCCGGAAGAGGGGAAAGGTTTTTATTTGTGGGTTTATGACAAAAAGTTACTCCTGCTTATTGCAAAACGGTCAAAACTTAAAATATTTGTTTTTTTTTTTATACAGGGTATTATACAGTATTTAGAAAAATATTATCAGGGATATTATTTAGGATCCATAGAGGATTAAAAATTTGAGGTTTCACTAATTTCTGTGGAATTTTTTTTATTAAACAAGGCGGGCACCTGATTGTGCATGCTATAATAGAGGAGTTTAAAATGACGGATGCTGTGGCTATAACAATCAAATAAATAATGTTTACTATCTTCTGTCAAAGTCACTTCGTGATTAATTAGGTAATATTTTATTTGAGATTACAATGCTCACTCTCGAACAAAAAGTATTTATTGTTCAGTGCTATGGTTTGGGTGAAGAAATATCATTCGTGGCAGTTCAAAAACGATTTAATGAGAAATGGCCTGACATAATAGTCACAGATAAAACTATAAAACGGATTGTATAAAAATTTAAAAGCACTGGTTCTGTATTAAAAAAGAAAAGGGTAACAACGGTTAACGAAGAAGAAAATGTTCTGAAATTAGTGATGCAATCAATAAGAAATGCCCCAAAGACATCTTTAAGAAAAAGAGCTTCAGAAATTGGAAACGTTAGTAAGTCTCGTTTACAAAGATTGTTAAAAAAAATAAAATACATCCTTATAAACTAAAGTTTGTCCATACACTAGAAGAAGAGGATGATTCTAAAAGGTTGAAATTTTGTTTATGGGTGGGTGAGCACCATCTCGAAAACAGAAACTTTTCCCACTATATTATTTTTTCGGATGAGGCGACTTTTTCCACGAATGGAATAGTTAGCTCTCAAAATTGTAGATACTGGGCTTCGGAAAATTCTAATTTTCGGATTAATTGTAGATGACAGTATTCAAAAAAGTTAACGTTTGGTGTTTCTTATATTTTTTTTTATAATAATAATAGTTTATTGGTGTTAGTTACTGTAACAAGTACTTACACAAGTCAGAATAAAAGCACTAAAAATACTTAAAACTAATTTAAATGTATAACAGTGACAAGCACATACATTTGCGCATCACAAAATATAACAGACGTCACACAAAAACAAACTCTAGATCACATATAATCATGCTCAGCTTATAAAGTGTAAATCGTTACATGACAAGAATTCCCTATAGTGGTAAAATGCCTGCCCCAGGAGAAACCTCTTCACCGTATTCTTAAAGGACATTACATTTAATATATTTAATTTGTGATAGTAACCGATTATACATCAAAATTGCCAGATAATTTGGGGTGTTTTGTGTTTTATTTAGCCTATAGTATGGAGTTATTATATTATCTTTGTTTCTTGTATCGTAACTGTGTTGGTTTGCATAGGTGGGACAGCTGTCTAAGTTTGATTTAACGTATGTCAGGCATTCCAAAATATACAATGAGGGTAAAGTTAATATTTGATATGTGATGAATGCATTTTTACAATCATCCATATAACCCAGTCCAGCTATGGTTCTAATTAATTTTCTTTGAATTGCAAATACTTTATCAAAATCTATGGCATGACCCCAAACTATTATTGCATAACTCATAATTGAATGGCACAAGGAGAAGTAGGCAGATCTCAATACACTAGTGGACACAGAACCTGAGAGATTACGAACAACAAATACACCACTACTCAGTTTTTTACAAATCCCATCTATGTGGATATTCCACCTCAGATGGGGATCCAAAAGGACACCCAAGAATTTTACAGCGGGTACTTCATCACCGGAAACATCATAATCACGCAGCGTAAGCATCATTCGTTGTGTTTTATTTCTGTTACATATAAGATTGTTACAAGCAAATCACTTTTCTGCTCCTGATTGAGCTTCATTTTTTCGAGTCTCTACATCAATTATATCTTTAGATCTGATAGAAATGGTGGTACCAAGTCTATATTTTCCCAACTTCTCAACTAAGATGTCATGTGACACAGAGTCAAAAGCCCTACTTAAGTCCAAGAATATAGTATCACAGAATTCAAGATTTTCATATGCGTCTAGAACGTTATTTACAAAGGCCAGTATCATGATTCTTTCGAAAACCATGTTGACATTCTGTGAGGAGTTTATTTGACTCAAAATACGTAGTCAGTCTATTGCACAAACATTTTTCTAATATTTTTGAGAGAACTGGAAGCACCGATATCGCTCGATAATTTGCTGGGTCATCAAGGTTACCTTTTTTGAATATTGGTGAAACTACTGCCACCTTTAGTATATTAGGAAATATTACTTGAAAAATACATTCATTTATTAGTTTAGTTAATGGATACACTATGAGATTCTTTATAATTTTTATGATTTTCACACTTAAGCCATATATATCTTTAGTAGCTTTACTTTTAAGGTTTGTAATAATGTCTCTTACTTCAATGTACGTTACCTCAGAAAATTTAAAAGTATTATTGGGTAATTTGTTATAATCAAAATTAAAGTATGGATTTAGAGGATCTTTCTGAGAACATAGTTTACGGGCTTCCAAATCCTTTGCAGCCGCTGTCGTAAAATATTCATTAAATATATCCGTTACGGTTGGACTTATTTTTGGTAACATTACTTTTTTTCTTTGCTTGTTTATAATATCCCACATACACTTATTAGGGTTATTAGCATTTTTTAACAGTTTCTCATTTGCCTTACACTTAACTCTTTTTATTTCAGATTTGTACTGCATGCGATAGATATTTCTCCTCAATTTATTTTCTGAACATGTTTTTTTTTGTATATCATAATAAAAAAGTTAAGTTGTTCACGCATAACTCTTAGATGATTATTAAACCAAGGAGGTCCGGCTGATTTTGGAATAGTTGGACCCTATTTTGTAGAGGGAAACTTGAACCAGCATTCTTATTTGCAGTTACTAAGTACGTTTTTCTTAAACTACCTAAACGATATACCATTAGCACACCGAGACAGGGCTTATTTTCAACAAGTTGGTCATCCATCTCATTCTATAATTATGGTTAGAGAATGGTTGAACCAACATTTTAAAGATCGATGGATAGGACGATTAAGTCCTGTTCCATGGCCTCCTAGAAGTCCTGATCTGACAATAATGTACTTTTATTTGTGGGACAATCTAAAATAAAAAGTTTATGCTAAATCGCTTGGTAATAATGTGGACACTTTAAAAAACAGAATAAGAGAAACAATTGCTAATATTCCTCTATACGAAATACGAAATTTGTGCAGAAATTGGAGGCAACAAATTGATTATTGAATAAATTTTGCAAATATCAAATAAAGTGGTACATACAAATTAGCTGCCCGCATTATTAAAAATTTTTTTTTTAATTTTAATCTGTGGATCCTAAATGACATTCCTGATATTTTTCGATATTGTAAAAAACAATGGTACTTTACTCTTTGCGACTAACAATATTTTTCTAAATACTGACCAGCCTGTATAAAAAATGACAAATATTTTAACAGTTTTGACCATTTTGGAAAAAGCAAGAGTTTTTACAAAGAGTGACTTTTTGTCGTACTCACAAATAAAAAACTTTTTCCCTCTTCCGGATATTGCAGCGGGACACACTGTATAATGATTACAATAACTTTTAGGTTTTGCTGTACTAATGTCTCTGATAAAGGTTTGAAGAATACAGTTGTTGCCACAGAGGGGCATAAAAATGTTAGAGAAAATATTATCAACATATTCGGAGCTAAGCAAATTTCAAGTCTGGTAGATATAGAAATTACGATACCAGATAATGATATATTAAACGATTATGGAATTAATCTTAAAACTGGCGAAGAAATTCCATTTACTTTTGAGTTTTTAATTTCCAGTGTTAGTCATGGAAATGGACGCAGTTCTACAGACAGGCAATTTTATTTTATCAATTCTAGGCCTTGCGAACCTACGAGGTTAATGAAATTAGTCAACGAAATTTATAAACAGTATAACGTCAATCAATACCCATTTGTTTTTTTAAACATTATAACTAAATCATCGTTAGTAGATGTAAATGTGACGCCAGATAAAAGACAAATTTTTCTTGAAAATGAAAAAATATTATTAGCGACTGTAAAGGCATCTTTAATAAAAGTTTTTAAGTCATTTCCTTCTACTTTCAAAATGCAAAACTTAGACGTTTCACATATAATTTCATCAGGAAAAACATTAGAAAGAGGCATAAAAAGAAGTATTTCAGATGGCCCAGTTAAAAAGGGAAGTATCTTGGACAGATTTAAAAAAAGAACAAAAACTGAAGAAAGTATTACTACTAGTAGCTTAAAATCGATGCTGGTTAAAAATAGTCCCGAAGTTCTTGATGAGATAGAAAAGGACTGTGATAAACAATTACGCATGTTAATTGATATTGCTTGCAAACTATCACCAGACAAAAATTCCGAGAATATCGTCGATTTCCATACAATAAAAAAAGAAAACAATTCTGAAGATAGCATCGATGATGTCAGTATTTGTCTTGACCAACCCCCACATGACACTATACAAAAATTTATACCGTTGAATATCACCATTGATGATATTAAAGCAGTTCTTAATAAGCCAAAAATGGAAGAAAATAAAAACATTAAGATCCGCTTTAGATCTGAAATTGTACCAGAAAGCAACAAATCAGCTGAAGATGAACTACAGAAACAAATTGCAAAATATGACTTTAAAAAAATGGACGTTATAGGGCAGTTCAATTTAGGATTCATAATAACTAAATTAAATAATGATTTATTTATTGTAGATCAACATGCTACAGACGAGAAGTACAATTTTGAACAATTGCAGATTTCCAGTGTTATAGATAGTCAAATTTTAATTAAGTAAGTGTCTGAATGTTTGTATTTAGATTTGTCTATAATTTTTTTTTTTTTAGTCCCAAACCATTGGAATTAACTGCCGGAAATGAAAATATTCTTATTGACAATATAGACATATTTAAGAAAAATGGATTTTCTTTCAAGATCGACGAATCAGGTATATTCTTATACATACTTAGAATAGTTAAAATTTTTTACTTTTTGCGCTTCAAACTGAAGAGAAGTACAGCGAAAATAATAACTTTCTAAAGCCGTTTTGATAATTACAGATGTGTTTCTCATAAATAATTATCTTAAGATGAAATCATAAGTAATTGAATTCTGGTTTTTAAATTCACAACAAATTTGAAATATAATGGGATGTTGAATATGTAATTTTCACTGTTTTTTTTTAATGATTAAAAAATGCTTTTTAAAAAAAATTGTAAAAAACGTCACTGAAAGCATTGTCCATCACTGGCCACTACTTTTTTCCATCTTTTTGGCAGCATTTCAATTCCGTGTTGGAGAAACGACACACCCTTTGAGATTATCCAAGAGTCCACTCATTTTTTGTCGTCTTCATATTTTTATGAAGACAGCTCACTATGTATCATCGATTGAAACGTGATAATTAAAGAGGCAATGTCTGGTGAATATGGCGGTTAGGACTTCCCATTTACTCGTTTCCAAGTAGGTTTTCACTGGTATTGCAACATGTGGCAGAGCGTTGTTATGCTGCAAAATCACTTTGTCATGTCTCTGCTCATATAGCAGCCATTTTTCCTTCAATGCTCGGTTCAAAAGCATCAGTTGTAGTCGTTTCATTCGGTTTGAGGGGCTTATATCACCAAATGCAGGGCAGAAACTTGGAACCGTGGATATTCGGCTTTGTTGATGATGTTGATGTATGGCCGGGCTTGCTCCACACTTTTCAATGCTTATGATTATCATAGCATATCCACTTTTCATTGCCAGTTACGATACGATACAAAAACCTTTCCTTTTCTGCCCCCAAAGCAGCTGTTCACACGAGCAAAGTCACCGTTAAAAATCTCTAGACTTCAACTCGTACTGCACCCATTGTCCTTGCTTTTTGAATCATTCTTAATGTTTCCAAATTTTCGAAACAATTTTGTGATCAGCTCTTAATGATTTTGCAAGTTTAGCTAGCTTCTGATATGAGTCTTCATCAACTAATGTCTCCAATTCTTCATCTTCAAACTGTTTCGGTGTGGCAGAGTGTTCTTTATACTCAACCTCAAAATCATAATTTTTGAAAGTGTTCTTTATACTCAACCTCAAAATCATAATTTTTGAAACGTCTAAACCAATCTCTGCATGTTGTTTGCGACAGAGCATAGTCACCGTAAGTCTCAACAAGAATTCTGTTTGCTTCAGCTGCAAATTTCTTTTGAATAAAGTTGTGCAGTGTCATCCTTATTACTAGTATTTTACTATAATAAATTACTTAAAGCCACATTTAGGTATAGTAAATTATTATACAGGGTGTTTGTAAATAAGTGCGAAATATTTTAGGGGGTGGTTGCCGAAGTTATTTTGTGGAAAAAAGTTCATATAAACGGAGGTCGAAATATGCTTCATTTCCGAGATACAGTGTTTAAATTTTAATTTTTTATTTATTTTTATTAATTATGTCGAAGAATTTTAAAGATATTGACTCGAAATTTGATGGTTATATTTTATTTAGAGATATTGACAGCAACCTACTAGATAATATAATAGTTTTTTTCCTCAAAAAACAGTGCATCCTGCGAAAAAAAATGAAGATTCCAATTTCATTCAGAATTGATGGCGGATTTAAAAAAAAATTTCAACACGGGAAAGGCATGAACGCAAGTAGAAATATTTGGATCACCCCAAAAAATGCACATTTATCCCTCCAAACCGTTTTTCAAATTTGGAGTCAATAACTTTAAAACTGAAATAATTAACAAAAATAAATATAAAATTAAAATTTAAACACTCTGTATCTCGGAAATGAAGCATATTTCGACCTACATTTATATGAACTTTTTTCCACAAAATTACTTCCTAAAATATTTCGCACTTATTTACAAACACCCTGTATAATATATTTTTTTAGTATTGGTTTATTTTACTTTCTTATTTAAATATACAGGGTGTCCGTGAATTTCACCGACAACATTTGACTGCATATTCACGACGATAAATATGATCTACGAAAAAAAGTTAAATAAAATATTTTTCGTTTTTGAGTTACAAGCCTTCAAAGTTGTCAAAAATAAAGCTAATTTAATTAATAACTTCATAACCCAATCGCGTTAAAATTTGGACTATTATGGCGTATAATTTCTTAAAGCTTTAGTCAAATCGATATATTGAGTGATAGTTTTCTCCGGTTACTTCTCCCTTTTAGCGGTCAAAACTTTTGCAGTGGTCATATTTTTTTAAAACGGGCAGCAACATTGAAAAGGTCGTTTTATTTAAAAAGAAAATTGTCACTTGTGAAAATCGCTTAGAGAAAGCCATTCTTGAGAAAAATGGCATTATTTGCAGGTGTGTATGTTTCGGTTTGCGTAGCAGTGTCACGGATTTAAAGCTTTGAGTTCAGTAAGCGATGAAAACAAGATATTGATTGCTCATCACTCCACACATGCAAATTATGAAAATTTACAACTCCGTTCCTTGTAAAACAAGATTCTTCAGAACACAACAATTGAAGCAAATTATTATCTTCTGCGAAGCCATTCACCAACCACTGGCAAACTTGTAAACGTGCGTTGGGATCTAAATTTTAAAGTTTTGTGAACGTTAGTTTTACATACATTTAATTGTCTTGGTACACTGCGGGCACTTCATAATTTGTATGTATGAAGTGATGAGAATTCTAAAGAAACACGACAATAATGACATTACCTGATAGCCACAGCAATTAATATCTTGTTTTCATCGCCTACTGAACTGAAAGATTTAAATCTATGACACTGCTACACAAACCGAAATATACAGACCTGCAAATAATGCCATTTTTCTCAAGAGCTTTCTGTAGGCGATTTTGTTAACAGACAATTTTTTTTTTTAAATAAAACGACCTTTTCAATGTTGCTGCCCAAAATCAAAACATTTTTGTATCAAAATCATTTTTTTTTAGTAGATAAACTAATGATTCTTTTTTGTTCCAAGTAATATATGTATATTTAATTATGGATTTTTTCAGCACCTTGTACTAAAAAAGTAGCTGTAACAGCCTTTCCTGTTAGCAAAAATTGTGTTTTTGCAAAAGATGACATTGATGAAATGATATTTATGCTTCAGGTATGATATTGGTTCATTATTACCCGATTTTATCCCTTTTCAAGAAGGATATCTACACATTTTTTCATTTAACCAATTGATTACTTCTTAAAACCTTACTATCAAATCAAATTTGCTAGAATAACTGCTATGGAAACATACTTTTCAATTTCCTTTCACTTAAAATCTACACAAACATTTTTTTAATATCAAAATTTTTTTATAATTTTTATTTCATGATACAAATAAGTGTACCATGGATGTATTTATTGTATCAGTATAAAAAAAATTCATGGCAACCTTAAACCCTAAAACAGTTGAACTACAAAAAAGTAAATAAATGATATTTTTTTTGTCTACACTGTGTAAATTATACAATTCAAACATCGAAACATTTAATGGGTGTTAGAAAAAATATAAAAAGTTGAAGAATTTATAAACAGCAAGTTGGTTTATCAATAAATCTAGATATTTACTTGCACTGTCGACAAGGTTTTAATGCGAATTTTGTTTTTCACTCGTTCATATAATTTTCGTGTAACATTGATTGGCATACTTTGTAATATAATTCTGTCGAAAATTATTGTGAAAAAATCATGGAACTATATTTTCAATGTAAAATGCTAAATGAAAGTTGATACATCTCAATGAAACTACATAATTTGCATGCATCATCATTAGATGAGTTTTTAACGGAAATGGCTGCTCCTAGAGACTTCAATAAGGTGTACATTTCGTAACTAGAAAAGATAGGGGAAAATATTTTTCTATTCCGAAATGACATACACCGTGGCACAAAAAAGTTGAAGTGATTTAAAAGGATCCTAATGGTCGCTTGTGGCGCCCCCTGGGAGATACAGTCAATCGTCCATAAAATTTGAATTTCCCATCCCAAGAAACCTCTTACTTTAGGTATACGTAATGCCATATTCAAAGGAAAGCTGGTTTCAAGACCTTTAAAATGGTGCCTGGTAGAAGTTTGTACAATTAAAATCAACTGAGATATATCAATTTAACCAACAATACTTTTTCTTATGTTTATAAAATTGTTATTACTTTCGATATTATTTTGTCTAATAAATTTATTAGACCTAAATACCTAAATTAACTCAGAAAAAAGTTATGACAAAAATCGTCAAAAAAGGGCAAAAATCCAAAAAGTAGCCAACTTTGATCCAATGTATCTCGGTTTCTATTAGTCGTAGGTACTTTTATAAATGCTTATTTTAAAGGAAAAAACATCAACTTTTTTTCTGTGAAGCAATGCCTATACCTAACTCAGAAAAAAGTTGTGGGCCAAAAACCAAAAAAAAAACGTATTTTTTCGGGTTTTTTTACTCATTTTTGGGCATATTTTTGTTAAAAATAAATTTTTTTGACTTCGGAAGGCCTCATTTCGATGGGAAATTGAATTTGCTACAACTTTTCTGATGACAACTATAGTGAAAAAATGCATAGTTTTCAAATAAAACTCAAAAAACTGAAAATACCACATTTTTACTTCGTTCTCAAAAACGCACCCCTTTAAAAGGTAGCACTCCGCGGTTTTATCATTTTTTAGGGTCAATTGAACATATCAAACAATAAACTTTCTGTTACATTGTAGTTCCTATCTAAAGTACATAGTCAATAGCCTATTGCGCAAGTCACAATTTGTATAAACATGTAACCAATATTTCACGTGAGAATTGAGAAGTATGTTGATAATGAAAGACATCTATGAAGAAATAGTATAACCTTCAAAATTTTCAGTGTAGAAAACTGTGTGTACAAACACGCTTTTATAAAAAATCCTGAGTTTAATTTGGGGATGCAAAGCAAAAACCACACGAATTACTTTATGCCTAAGCGTGACTCGGGCGTGTGTAAAACAGAAAATCAAGTCCTGAGTCATGTGTGGGCAGAAGCATGAAGGGGTTAAGGGAGCCTGAATCTTTTAAAGAGCACATTAATAAAATTATTTTTATTCCACTGCAACTATTAACAACACAATCTTAATGAAATGCCGCACAACCACCTAAAATTTGTTTGAAAAAGAATTTATGATACGAAAGCATTTGTAATTGTTTAAATATTTTTTTGACTCCCTGAATTGAATTTTTCAAATAGACGTTGCATTGCTTAGGAATCAGGCCAAACGATGTGCAGACCTAGCAAGATTAGAGCAATGTTTGCTTCAAGAGCATGCAGAAAATCAGTAATGATCGGAAAACATCTTTCAAAATCGGATATGAGATGCCTCATAGATCATATGGGAGACATCGATCAACCCTGGGTAAGACATTATGAATTACAATCTTCGGCAAGTTAATAATTTTATTTATTTGTAGAACTGCCCTCACGGAAGACCTACAATGAGGCATTTAATAAATTTGGACCTTATAGAAAATAAAAATTAACTCCATTAATATATTTGTATATATATTCTTTTATTACGTGACAATATATTTTAAACACTAATAGTCCTAAATATATTAAAACCACTTTCCGCAGTACTAATTATTACACCAGGTAATTGAGGATGCCAATGTAATTCTTTTATATTATTTTGTCCTTGATGGATGAATAAAAGCTGCGGCGGCAGTCCCTAAAAAAATAAAATAATAGTCAAATTTTAATGTGGCGACTTTTATTTTTGAAATTATTAAAAATTTGATTTTGTAATATTACAGATATTACCTCCACCTCTTCAGCACTATTCTCAGTATCCTTTTCTACAGATAAATCCCATAACGCAATTTGATTATCTGCCCCTCCTGAAGCAAATACAGCTGAATCAGTTGGATGCCATTCTACTGTAACAACGGGTTCTGTATGATGTTTAAAGATAGCCAAAGGTGTCTTGTTTTGAAATTTTCTCAAGTCCCAAATATGCAAGAATCCATCATCGCCACCTAAAATATTTCTCATCTTACCAATCACGCAATTATGAACCATGCTTAAAGTAAAATAAGTAGGTAGTAGTAAGCATTTAACTGTTGCTTATGAATCAAATACTTCACATATTATTTTTTGAACCAAATTTGAAACGTTCAAGTAAAAAATTCCATGCGCAACCAGAGCGGTGTTCAGGGGAATGTGCGGGCTAGGCGTTTTACTGCTGTTAGTGCGTTTATTACATGAACTATCAATGTAAAACTTTGTGAAAATAAAAGTTTAACCCTTTCTTTAATTGCCTTTAAAATCCCACTCCAATACGTCCAACAGTTAATTAACAAATTAGCGCCTAAAGGTACCATATGGAACCAATAAACGTCAAGATAAAAAGTGGGATTTCAGAGTGATTTTTTGCTAGCTTTCGTTAATCTGCTTATTTGCACGTCTTCAGTATGATTTATGAAGCCCTTAGAAGTGTTTACATTTGACATTTTTTTGTATTGAGTGAAAAACTTGTTTATACGAGTTTGTAAAAAACATGGACATCAACTTCGTGTAAGTATAATAATAATTATTAGATATTTTATTCTATACTAGTTGCTTTTAGTGTTTTATTATACTATTATATCTAAAAACATATTTCTGTTCGAGAATAATTTAACTGATTATTTGTTTATGTATAATATTGTTGTAAACATTGATGTTCCCATATGGGTCCGCTAGGCAGTAGCTCGGTTGAACTAATATCTTTAGCTGTAAATCTTCTTTTAGTGGAATTACCCTTCAGGAAGCGTTTGTCAACTTGACTTTAGGAGAAATATATTGCAGGTAGAGTAAAACTAACAATTTGTAGAGGAATCATATTTTGACGATTTTTTTTAAATTTATTTTCAGACATCTAACGAGATATAAAGTACCAGCTCGCGCTACAGGACGAATACCTCGGGCAGCAGTAAGTGATTTTCGAGTCAGTAACGATATAAGGTATGATGGCATGCATCATTATGTAACCACTATTCTTGAAGGTAAAAGAAGACGATGTGGTGGTGAAAACTGTAGCCGAGGAAGAACAATGTGCTGCAAATGTAATATTGGCTTATGTGTTGATTGTTTTCGAAAGTTTCATACTCAGTAATAATATTTACTCATTATTTTAAGGTTTTGTTAAAAGAACAAGTTGCTTTTTACTTTTTTCGTTGTTGCTCATTTCTAGTGACGTTGCGCCTAAAGGTCCCATATGGGAACACCTTGTTTTTCGGTTAATTTAGAGAAAAAATATTTTAAGTTGACTAAATGTGTTAAATAAAGATGTTTACTACTTATTTGTATTAAAAATTTACATAATTTTTTGATTTTTTTTTATCGACGTTAATGGGTTAACAATTAAGGTTATAAAAAAAAAGCCATCTTGGGTACAAAGACGCGTAGGTGATTTCTATTTTTTTAAATTACTGTAAAAATAAGCTCTAATGATTTTGGGACAATTTCTTTATAAAGCTGTTTTGTATGTCCTACTTTATTACTTGTAAAGGGTTGCTTAATTTCAACTTTTTGAAAATTTTCTTTTTCAATACGTTTCTTTGGATTAATTAAAACCCTATATCTACGATATTAACTTTTAAAAATAACGTTTAGTAATTAAACAATTAGTTGCAAAAAACAAACGAAATTAATTAACAAATCCCTATAATTTCACGGTCAATACAATCGGCCTTTAGCATACATGTTGGTCTTTGGATTGACCATCTTTTCCATAAATTTCATCAACATCCATTGCTTTTTACAATAATAATGCACAATTTTTGAAAACTGATTTTGCCGCATTCGACCTTTATTTTACATTAACAAATTGGTGAATAGTGACTTTAGACACATTAAACTGTAGGTAATTTAATTGCCTACAACATAAAATTACTAATTTTCCTATAGGTCGTCTAGATATTCATGGGCAATAAAAAAGTGAAAAAACAGTAATTTTGCTTACTTATTTGCAATTTGTCAACTTAGAGTCACTTCTTTTGAGTTACTTTGTTAATATTATTATTATACATATCTTCCCCTTCATAAAATGCAATAAAATGTTTACTAATATTTTTTTTACCTTTAAGGTTTATCGGGTACGTCTAAAGTCAAATGAGAGTTTCTGTAGATTCGCTAGTGACTAAAGTAGTAAGATTTGGCAACATTGCACTTGGCTGGCTTAGCTGGCACGCTCGGCTCGGCCTTCGCTCGCTCGCGTTCGATCATTCTGTTTGTTTGAATGCCTAAGCTTGAAATATACATCATATGTCACACGTGCGAATTTCAAATAATACGCCACGTCGATAACCGCGGCGTTGCCGCCATCACACATAATGGATGTTAAGTTAGTCAACAGCAGTTTGAAGGAGAATTATTATAAATTATGTGTCTTACAAGTACCTAATCGATTTCTACGAGCTGTCATACGGTTCCTTAGATATCGGTTTTCTATTTATACAAGTTGCTGTGGAAACTGTTCGTCAATTTTTGCGCATTCTAAGTGGAAAGACCAAAAAAATCGGCATTCTCATAAAAATCTGTACTAAATCATGAAAAATTATTTTATTAATATATCGTCTCTTAGGTATCCAAACCAGTCACAATTTTTTTCTTCATATTAATAAGCTTATTAAGTTTTTTATGAATATTTGTCAATAATTCCATATCAGATAAACCTCCTTAAACTCTAATTCGGCTGGAGTATTATACACAGTACAATAACAAAACGATATAAAATACAGGGGAGGAATATAAAATACAATTCACATCGTGACATTCAACATTATAATGTGTTTTCGCTATTAATCGAACAGAATCGGTGTCATTTAGTTACTTGTTTTCACCAAGCATGGGAGTTTATAGAATTACATCTTGCATTAAAAGCACCATTATGATATGATTTGATAGGTTTAATTTGTCTAAGGCTAAAGAAAATGTATCAATGAAACGATTTTGGCATTACCATCACAAGACCTACAATTGTAATAATTTGAATATTTTGGTAACAATAACCAACATTTCAAAATGAAGATCTTCAGATAAATAGTTTAAGGAGGTTCCATAGATATCTTACGGGGTAGGGGGTGCGGGAGGGAAGCGTATGCTTATACACGCGAGTTTCGTTGTAGTACCTTCCTTACATAAACTAATTTGAACGAATTAAATATAATATATGTGAATATTTATACAACACATTAGCTCGCATATATTTTTCGTGTTTAATCCCGATCCTAACCATTTTTAAGAGCAATATTCAGGTTTGATGAAGTTTTTTCCCCCAACTCCCATAAGAGCCTGTGTAAGAGCATAATTTTTAATACCATTTTTCAAAAAAACTACGTTGGAAATAAATCTGATATTTTTACATGAGGCACTTTGCATATTTATTAACAGATTAACAGAGGCATCTACAGTTAATCAATTTTGTTGAAGAGTGAATATTCAGATGACGTTTAAATACATATGTATTTGAGTGATGAGGTCTCAATTCAATAGAATGAGAAACTGTATTTAGAAAGATGTTTGAAAAAATTTATATAAATTAAGTATAATATTTTATACTGCTTAAAAGCAAGATAATTCGATTTTTGTATAATATTAAAAAAGTCGGTTATAGATTTGTTTTGTTCCATATCTGCTTGTTCACTGGATAAGTTTAATTTCACACTTTTGTTTTAAAGTTAATGAGTTATACAGTAAGACCCCGCTTAACGTGTAGAATACGTTCCATCAAAGTAGAGCGTAATGCAAAACAGCGCTAAACGAGGCTATCTATACATGTAAATAATGGGGTTAGGGGAAGATGGATAGAAAATTGGTTAGGTATTAAATTTAATAATTGTTTTTGTTTGTTTAATTTAATAATTTGTGTTTTCCTTTTGCGTTCTGTTAGAAGTTGTTGATAAGTGGATAAAGCATCTATAACACCCCGTCTTGCTTTTGAACTCCTGTCAAAATTTGGATCATTTTCAACAAATTGGTCCATAATTTCAGTTATAGTTATATCAACTGATAAAAATGCGTCCGTACAGCATCGCACCAAACAAGAAACACAACTACACTGTTTCAGATAGGTTATGTACATATTTGGAAAACTAGCGCTGCGCACAATTTCGGGGAATCCCCATAGTGCAGCGAGCAATTTCGCGGAATCCCCGGGTTGAAATAAAAGAGCACTACACCGAAACAGCGCTAAACGAAACAGCATTAAGCGGGGTCTTACTGTACTTTCTTTTCGGCATTTTGATCCAAAATGTATATAGTACACATGACTTTATACTGGTTGACTGTATAATAATGCTGCACTACCACCAACACATTATCAAGATAAAACATGTGTCCAGGAACTCCAGGATAACAAATTATGAGTCGACACATAGATCGTCGAAATTCCTGGATGTCGAAATTAAAGTGTGTCTAGATTATAGAGATTATACCGTACTAAAATTGTATGTGTAATTCTAGCAACAATGTTAATTTCACTTACCACTTACAATGAACGGTTCATTCTTGTTCCAATTGATGACATTTACATCAGTTTCATGCGCTCTGTCTGCAGTAAGCATGCAGGCCTTATTTGGTTGTGCTCTTGTGTCCCAAATTCTTATACTCTTGTCCACGGAGCACGAAGCCAAAACGTGTCGTTCATTTGGCGACCATTGAAGATCTTCTACAGAATCTGTGTGTCCTATTAAAGGTCTCTGATCTACCTTCCAAGACATTCCCTCGGTAGGTTGCCATATATGGATATCTCTTTTACAGTCTCCTGAGGCTAGAACCTAAATTAAAATCAAGTTACAAATAGTGTCAACAATTTGAAATTAAATGATAGCATTCAATGAGAGTATTTAGTTAGGATCGGCTAATGCTAACCAAAAGCTTTTGGCCCCATACACTTCGTTTGATGATCAGGTAAAATTTTGCCGAACAATATTGTTACAAAACAGGTATATGGGAGTAACCCGACATGTTTGTCCCTTTGATAATATAAATTGAGTGTTACTAATCAAGAAGTGTAACCAGTCAGAGTTAGCTAACTAAAAACCCTTGAAGGTTCTATAAATTTTATTCATCCTCCATGATTTTGCCTATCGAGTAAAATTTTTCCCAGCAAAAATGTTGCAAAATAGGTGTATGGGACAAAACTGACTTTATCTACATAAAAAATTTGATTGGATTGAAGAAAAAGAATGCGCTTATAAATAGGTCATCGAATGTGTTAATGAACCCGACAAAAACTTTTGCCAAAGTACATATTTTCAAGCTCTTTGGAGGTTCTTACCACTTTGATAAATATATAAGAAAGTCAAATACAAACAATTTGATTTTGGAAATATTTTGGTACTAATTTCAGGATCTCAAGTTTACAAAATAGGACTAAACTCCCACTTAGATAAAAGATATTAATATGAAACTATGCAGCACCGTTTTTTAGTTTTAATAAATATTTTATTTGAATCTTTTTTTTTATAGTTAACCAGTAATTGACATGAAACAGATAAACAAGTACTAGTGTAATTTCTCTTGTTCTATGATATTACCAGCCAATTTAAAAAGAAAATAATATGTTACCATACTCCTTACCCCCGGCATAGTATTACTCCAATCTATAGCAAATCCTTCCTTCTGATGCCCATTAAATGTAAACAAAGGGGTGGTGGAGTTAGCAATATTTTCTTTATTATATTTTGAAAGTAACTGATCATTTTCTACTGCTTGTAATTGTTGTGTTAAATTCCAAATATTAACTCTCCCTAGCTCACTCCATGAAGCAGCAATCGCTACGTTATTTAAAATTGTGCTCTAAAATTAATCATGTATAATAACCTATCTAAAGCTAATTTAAAAAATTTACCCTTATCCTGTTTACACAGCCTTGATGTTTTATAAGAGCTCCTGTCATTTTGGGGTTTTTCATATTATCTTCTTCATCATCATCCGAGGAATCTTCATCGTCCTTACTAGTTTTATAAAGATTTGACAATTTCATAACAATTATATGATTAACATGAGACTGTGCCGCTTGTGTACCTGCTACGGTATAAGCTGTTAATGGAAATGTTTCTCTATTATCTCCTAAAGAATCTCTTATTATATCAAAACTAAGGCATGGTGCACTTGTTTGAGCTTGATGATACATAATGTAGGTTGTGGGATCACAAACTAATTCTTCGCCCTCTTCTAAAGGTACTCCAGGTAAATAAACTTTAGAATTATTTCCCTCCGCCATTTCTTTATCATTATTAGTCTCTTCAGCAACTTCCATATCTTCGTCAGACATAGCTACAAGTTAAAATGGGACTTTATTTAACACAAAAAAATAAATAACTTCAAATCGTAGTATAGGTTAAATACAATTAAAAAATTTATGGTTATAACATGGTTATCACAATAATAGCATGCCAAGATCGCATTCTACTTTAGCGACATAATTTTTAGCGACTGTGCCGGTGCG